CTGAGTGTGTAGAAACAAGTACAGTAAAGAGCTGTTTTTCATATCCAAATGGTATGATTTTTGGCTTCGGAAGCATATTCCAGCAAAAGGAACATGTAGACTGGCCTGTATTTTCTGATGGATACTACATGTACCTCAATAATGGCCATTTTCAAACTGTAGGTTGTGTAGGTTTGTGACCAAAGTAACCAGTTACAGAGAAACCATGACATGACCGAGAAGATCAGGAAGTACATGTATTTGCAAAGAATAATCTGCTTTGAAGGTTACAAGCTGTAAAAAAATATTGAAAACAGCATCAGTAGAAAACACAATCAAAGTGTGACAGTAGAACAACAACCAAAAGACCTAGAGAATTAGTATTTCACCTGTAACATGAATTTCAAACTGAAAATTTTGCTGCGTAAAAACAGGACAACTTTTAACTAGAACTCATGAACTGGTGTCAGGTGTATTTTCACTCTGAGGGTCTCCTACCACAAACTTCTTTCTCAGCATTTCTTGCACCCTCTGTTCCTGCTTCTCCTCTTTTGACATTTTCCCAGTGGGTGTAGATGGCTGTAAAAGCAATTATGGTTTCTAATCCTTTTGTACACAAGTAATTTACATTGTACAGTAATAAAGTTCCTGTAACCATGATTTTTTATGTGACCTCAGGAGGAAGCTAATAGTATAAACATTTTATGCTTAGCCTCTCCAAACTGAATTTCATTCTCTTCATTGTTTATCCTGATGAAGGCAACAATGGTCATTGATAATTTGAACTCTATGTACCTTTGTGTTAGCATAAAATTTAGCATTGTACTGTCATTCTTTTCAAATTTTTCATGATCCAGCCTTCCTATCTCTCCCAACTGATCAGTTTTCTGCAAGCCCTCCTCTCGTACCTTGTCCTTGCCTCTGCTCTTCCTCCGTTGTCTGTCCTTGAAGCTTAGTCGGTTCTTGGGCTTCCCTCCAGGAGTGGATGGGGGACTGAAGGATGGTGGGACAATTCCCAACATGCAATAGGGGTCGCTGTACCCTGTAATTTGAAAGCAGAATGCCATAGATGTATAAGTCATGCTGTGCACATTGGATCCACTACATGATAAATCTATGAAAGCTTTCACATTTGCCATTTACTTTTTAGCATCAAAGTTATAGTCAATTTCATGCTAAGATAGTTCAATATAATAATGTTATAAGAATTATGTGGGGATAGATGACTGTTTTCAAGCGCTGGTAGGCCCCAATTCGTGTAATCTTGAGATACAGTATACTGTCAGTTCACATAAAAACAAAATATGCCATTCTTTCTTGAATGAACCATTTTTCTACAAGCACCTAGAGTTTACTAACCATTTGCATCCTTTGCTTCTAGATCCTTTGCTTCTGCAACTGAAAGGGCAAGGGAAGTGTTATGAAAGATCATAAAATTGCCGCAACTAAAAAAATGTGAGTACTTTGAAAAATCTTTCTTAGTTCTGTAAGCAATAGTATCTGTGCTGTCCTTGGTACTGAACCTAGCATTGGTCAGTCTGTATTGTAATATTATAATTATGTCATTCTGATACATTCATATATAGCAATGCCAAAATGTTGCTTGTGTCATCTATTGGGTATAAGGCCTCTGCATTGCACAATGGATAACTTTTGGGCAACAATGCTAAGTTCAGCACCAAGGACAGTCACTGTGGTAAAGTGCTTTCACTGACAGTAGTGTGCCAAGATTGGAGCTAAATAGCAGTGTGATGATGTTACAAAGCTATAGCATGCACTAGATGGTAGAGAGCCCAGTTTTCCTCATACACCATGCAGTAGATAAGCTAGAATATATTACCATAACTAAAATGATAAAGACACCCTTGACTGTTTCCTAAGGTATTCATGCCTGTCTGAAAAGAGTGATTTTATCATACAGTTGGTTCCTGTGGTTGGCCTAACATCCGTGTCCATAATATCACCAGGGTTCGTAATATCGCCACCTTGAGAAACAGTGTGCTTTAAGATATTTTTACTGCAACATACTTTTGGTATGCACTCCTGCACACCTCAAATGTACATACCTAGGGTGTGTTGCAGTAAAAATATCTTTAAGCACCCTTTTTCTCAAGGTGGCGATATTATGGACTATGGTGATATTATGGACACAGATGTTAATGTTTAGGGTTGTCAGTGTGTGTTAAATGTTCATAGCTTGTAAGAAATGTTTACCTGTTACGTTCAGCACACATTTTGGGGCCTGTAAGTAGAGGAAGCTTGATCACTAACACAACATTTGGACACATTGAAACATACTAAAACAAAAAACTTAGCAAGGTCTCATATTCCAAAATTCCTTGTTACTACAAACCATTTACTGAAATATATATTTTACACAATAAAGAAAACAAAGCTAAGGTTGTTTTATGCCTTGATCATAAGAACAATTCAAGAATTTGTGGAACAATTAAAAGATACACTAACGTCTTGTAAAAAATGTAATGTGTGACAAACTTGCTTTTGAAGTATTTATCTATTGCCAATTAGTTTGCTTTGTATAGCATATCAGTAAAAACAGCCATCCCCCATTTCAATCAAAACTTGACTCTAACTTTAAGTAGAAGTCCCTCCTACCTTTAGTTCTTTAGCCCTGTCCAGCAGGGCCCTGTGTCTGTCTTCTGTAAAGTGGAATACCTGGGGGAAAACATGTTATTTTTGATAGTACTGTATATTTCATGCACTTATATCTAGCTGCAACTGATGAATACAGATGGAATGCTAACAAGAGAACTTCAAAGAATGCGCTGCACTATTGAGATTTGTTTTAAAAGTAGACTTTACAAACAGCTTACTTCTAGGCATTTGATCTGCTATCAGTGCAGGAATTTTAACAATGCTCTTGTAAGAAGTGTTAATAATATACACACATTAAATTTGGCTAAAGCACTACTGGCTTTGAAATGCTGTCTCAGTCTTTAGTCTCAAGGCAGAAAGGTCCAATATCTTGTTACCTTATTTACATTAGAAGAGATGAATTAGAAACACTTTTTTCAAGTACTTTCAATACACAGTGGATTTCTAATAATTAGCAGGTAAGTGAAATGTTGTTGTACCTCTTGGGCATAATTGTACAGGTCTTCATCGAAGGGAGAGTGTCCGTCACTGGTGGTGCCTATCCTGTGTCGGATGGTGTACATCAACTCTTTGTACAGGGTGTCCAGCTAGGAGGAGGGGGCAAAAAAATAGAATCAAATGTGTGTCAAATTACGATAGCTTTGAGGCAACAATACTAAGTTCAGCACCAAGGACAGTGGTTTTCGCTGACAGTAGTGTGGCAAGATTGGAGCCACATAGCAGTATGATGAAACTAAAAAGCTGTAGCACTAGATGGAAGGGAGTCCAGTTTTCCTCATACACCATGTTGTAGTGGATAAGCTAGAATATGTTAATTGAATAATTAATTCAAATGTATGATGCCCTTTATTGTTTCCTCAAAGCTGTGCAAACTGCAAATTTACAAGGTATTCACTATTAAGTAGAAAATCTACAAAGGTATTCACTATTTGCCACAGTTTGTGATATATTAACAACCATGGCTTGAGACGGGAAAACAACTATAATTGTCCAATTCGAATTTTTATTTATAATAACAACCAAGACGTATAGGTCAGGAATCTGATTTACAGAAATTCAAGACATTCTACATATCTCAAGAAGTGATGTGGGGGTATTTTAACCAAAAAAAAGCAGTTCCAATCAACTATCCTGGTGGATTGCGATTTAATTTTGCACACATTATGAAGGATTGCATGATAGATACACCCTATCTATCAGTGCAACTGTCCCCAATTAATTTTGAAAATTACATTTAGGATACATTGCTGCATGATGTACACAATGAAGACCCAACTGTGAAGCATCAATTTCCCAACAATTGCACCAAGAAAATTATAAGTTTAAGTATAGAATGTGGATTATCTTGCTTTTTCCATGTTTAACCTTGTACTCAATACACATTTGTATGATGATACATTGTACTTTGGCAACATGGGTAACATAACAATTAACATGAACCACACAACGTCATACATATTTATTCCATGTAATGTCGCATGCACTACATGTTTTGAATGCTCATGCAAAGTTACAGAATGAATTTTTCATTGCGACCAGAACTAGATGTCTGCCTTCAAAATTATGTACATCAAGATCCATGTAGTACTACAATGTATGAATCTTTAAAAACCATAATGTTTCTGTCTCTAATGTTAGTTCTTAAGTCCCAAATGTTGATTAGCTTGAAACAGTTATCATGGAGCATCAAAATGTAACTATGGATTCCCTATCATCACCTACATTAATTTTTGTGCCATTGATATTCTTTTTCTTACCATCATAAAAATTGAACAGATGCAAGAATGTCAGATCAAACTTAACACAAACTTGTTGCTGACACATCTGGGCCAGAGCTGCCCAGAGCTCCCTTAGCTGTCTAGACAGAGCCAAGCCTTATATAAAACTGCTTACAAAATCTTGTTGGGATTGACCTGTTCACTACATGTACGTTACAACCTCCCGCACACAGGCGTAATGTAGCAAGTCTGGCGTTACTCTATCGCTATTCCCATGGCAAATCCTCCAGGGAACTTCACTCGCTTGTTCCCCCACTCCAAAATTCTCAGCTAGGACACGTTTTGCCACTTCTACAGAAGCAAATTACGCTTTCTTCTTCCATATTCCATCTCTCAGGAGGAAGTTTCACGCTGAAAGCTTCTTTCCTAGAACGTCATCACTATGCAACAAGCTTCCTTGTGAATGCTTCCTTAATGCATGGGTACAAGCTTAAACTTCTACATGCCAGTAAAGAAGCATGATTTGCCTTCACAGTCCATTACTGTAACCCAAAACATGTGATGAGTGGTTCTTATATGAGCTTTGTTTTGTGGTGAAAATTGATAAGTAAACAATAAACCAGAAAAGTAACATTTGCAAAGCAAATGCATAATGGTTACCTTCGCATATGGTCTGCTCTGTTAATGCTTACTAAAACACATTGTATACATATACATATACATGTACATATGGTCAGACAGGAGTCTAAATCCCTCCTGCTATAAAACTGCAACATGATGTAGCTCAACACCAGTTACCATGGTAACAGATGTCTGGTTCAGGTCATTGACCTTATTGGTTTGCAGAAGAAGGAGAAGGAGAAGAGGTAACAGAGCAGAAACAATATGTTTTCCTTCAGTAAACAGAAAAAGACACTCTTACCTCATCCTTGGTGAGTTTCTGACGATCAGGTTTGACAACAGCTTGACTTTCCACAGGCAATGGCTTGTCCTCTACAAGATCCTCCTAAAACACCAAGAAAAGAACACTGTTGAAACTTTGATATGAGGGAAACTAGAAATCAATTTTGTAAAAGATTTTTTTTCGAACAAGTTGTGGAAAATTAATACAGCAATTTCATACCTGTATTCATGAAATACCTATTTGTAAAATTGACATTATTAAAATTTGAATTATTTTAGACATGATAAAAACACAAACTGCAATTGTGTAACATGTATTTCTCTACCAGATGAAACAAAGCCATGCTGGTTTGGCTCTTGTAGCACAATCACAGACAGTTGTTTGAAACACAAGACTATTGTGTCACTTGTTTAAGGATCCAAAGTTCCAGTTAAAATGCAGGTACCTAGTGTGTAACAGTTGCTTGAATGAGCTAGTTTGCTACATTACAAAAAGACCTTTTCAGCAACCTCCATGGAAATTACTTTGTTTTTCCTGCCATATGTCACCAGAAGTGATAAGTATGTGAGACCAACAAGTGGGAAATGTGCATTAGCTTGTTGCACCAACAGCTGGATATCTGGGATAATGTGCCTGATGTGGGAACACACATGTGGTCTTTAATGTGCTTATCTGGACATCTTTTGGAGCTTGAACTAAGTACCTTTTGTAACAATTAAGGTTACCAAACAAACATCACGCTTCTTGTCACCTACTTTTTTCAGGGATAATTGGTAACCAAACACTTCAGATAAAGACTTTTCTAATTGTACAGTTAGTATTACTTAGTTGTCATGGAAAAACTGACTGACAAATGCTGGCATGCTGGCATTTTGCGGAATTTATAAATCGGCACTGTACGTATGCATGTACTGCCAACAGTTCTTGAGTCCTCAGCTTTGGTAGCATGGATGCCACTGGCTCTGTATTGCTGCTAAATACCATGGACTACCCAGAACTAGAGCCAGGTCAGAGCCTTGCGGGACGTGATCTTTTTCTTTTTCTTTTAGAACAGGCGAACATCAATGCTCGTGCGGATGTCATCCATACAATTAAGTCGGTGTGGCCTTATATCCTATAATTACATGACAAGCAACTAAAAGTATGCATGCTGCACTACTTATCAAAATGCTTACAAGTACATGTGGTCTGCACCCAGCTGCCGCAAGCTTACCAGGTCACCCCTGAGAGTCAAATCAGTTTCTAATCAAGCAGGCAATCAGGTTGGCATTTTGGAGTATGATTGATGTGTCAAAAGCCTGCGATTCGTGTCAAGTCATTGACCCATTCCTACATTGTACATCAACCATTGGTAGTCACTAGGCATCCACGTTGTATTTGCTTGTAAATTACATGTATGACGCTATTATGATAAAATCTGTGTTGGAAGGACAGCTTACTGCTTGTCAATGATACCAGTTGTACATCTTTCTCACTAATATATTAATTTCCTGTTTGTCTCATTATCGTTTTAAGACAGACATTTAAAAAAATGTAATTGGTTTACATTGTAAAATTATGTTAAACATACAGTTGTAGTAACGTTGATGTTTTGCCAGTATTTTATTCCTCTTCACATAATAAAAAAATAGGACATTTTGTAACAGACACACACTCAGTCAAAAATGTGAAACTATAACAGTTATACAATTTATGTATAACAAATATCTACGACATCATAAGGTAGATATTTGTTATTGTAGCTAAACAGTTAATACATTTGTACTTAAAGCTTTCTGCAGCTTACAAATAGATAAGGCATTTTGAACGTTTTATGATAAGACACTGATAGAAGGTACATTTGTATGTTCAAAAAGTTTTAAAATGATTCAAATTTTTGTGGTATTTTGGAAGTGCTTTTTTTATCTTATCTAGCTTGACTGTAAATGATTAACAATTTGAAACTAACTATAACGTTAGTTCAACACACAGAAGATAGCAGCTTACATGTACATATTGTATCATGCCGTATACACAAACTGTGTGAAGGAACATTGTTTTTCAAAGGTAATGGAGGAATGATGGTATTCTAATGAGGGAATACAAACAGGTTTGTTACAATAAACACCAGTTGTTAAGTAGTAAACACACCAAGAGTTCAAAACTCTGCTCCTAAGTTGGAAAGTAGACAGAGCCCAGTGGCTCACAATTCTTAATCTTGTATTTTGTCATTTTGTCAGAAAACAATCAAAACCATTTAAGAATCTTTTCTAATTGCCTTGATGTTTAAAATTTGTCTTGTATGTTCTTTATAAGATTCCTTGACAGATTATTGATTTCCATTGGGTAGAAAATGCAACTGATTACACTTAAGGTTTGAATTTGCCAAACAGTGTCATTGTGCTCTTGTAACATGGTGAACATCAAAGAATTGCTTTTGGCAATTTCATTCAAACTGATGGGTTGGAATGATTCCACTCTGCGGGCAAGTCCACATAGTTACTGCCAATTACATGTACTTCAAGCATCCTTTGGGAATACCATATCATTAGAAATCAGGGGGAACTCATTGAAAAACACTTCAAGATTTTAAAATCCTGTAAATGGGTGCTTGTGGTACTACTAGATTCCATAACCACCTTTTTTTAGATGAAAATTCCCAGTAGCAGTCCAGAAGTCACCGCAACAGTTCCCAGTGTAACAGTGGGGGGTTTATGGGCGCTACCAACTGACCCTACCGAGGGGTCTAGACCTTTTAGCCGAGTGGTTAGAGCGTTGGCGTGTGGCCTGGAGGGTTGTGGGTTCGAACCGGGCCCGGGACCAGGAGGGTTTTTATCTCTTTCTACTCGCTCCTCCTGTTTCTTACAGTGGTTCCCACACTGGGAATCGAACCTGTGCCTTAGCGGTGAGAGCGCCAAATCCTAACACCATAAAAGTACTGTGAAAAATCAAGAGTTACTGTACCTCACTGCTGGCTCTCAGTCTTCGGTTTTCTTGTCTCCATGACAGTGCTGTGAAACTCTCGAAGAAATTTCCATCTGCCTCCTGTACCCTGCAAGGAGATAAAGTAAAAAAGATATATATAATGATTTTCATAATATTAAGTGTCATTTTGTAACTGGCATGAACTACGTATACATGCACTGTACATCTAAATCACTCACTAAGTCTTGTAATTTGATCTGTTGACAACTTGGCTGTTTTGCCACTTGCTCCCCTTTATAATTTACATGACGTAACGTTACGTATGTATGTGACCAGTGCATGTGAGAAAAAAAACTTGAAAATTGTACAAAAAGTGTACAATCTCGGACCATTATAATTATGGGAGTAAGTAATGCTGGGTCAACTTCGGAAATCGTAAAAGAAATAGTAATGATTATTCACATTAAGGACTATTGCTGGGTGATGTACATTGCTACATACATGTATAGTATTACACACACAGTCATGCATAAAGTTCACTGCAAAGGTCAATGTTGCACATGGCCTTCTAATCATATTCCCCTGAAGGCATGCAAAACCAGTAACTCAATAGTACAATCAGACAAATTTAAGTGGCTACACACTCATACATTATGTATGTCACCCAAGAGCATTTTAGCTGTTTTACAAGAATGTACCTGCTTGCGCAGCATTGAGACGCCACTTTTACATGCTGCTTGGATACATTATGCCCTCAGAGAACCCCCGAAGCATGTGCTGGAGTTTGAAAGCAACTGGTGAAGGGTAGGATGATTGGCAGTTACTTCTGAATCAGTACATTATACATAACCTTTTTTTTTTATTTATTAATCTTACAAACAGATGGGTTGTCCCTTCAGCCGTTGAGACTGATTTTTAAGGAAGCCCATGGGAACATGATACAAGAAAATGATGTAACATAAAATAATAATAATTAAATGTGACAAAGGAATTCGAAAATCATCAATCAAGATACAATAATAATGATCAGTCAGAGGTGTTTGAGGTGGTCAGAGGTCAAATTCCAAATAATACAAAGTAACTTTAAAAGAACCTCTCAGCAAAACTAGTTTGTCCTATCAGCAAAACATGGTGGTCTGATAAGATTGACCATGTGTGTGAGTGTGTACAAATAATCCCAAACCGTTCCTGTCTGTACTGCCTATGGTGATTTATGATGCCAAGGGAATGCAGTGGTACTAATACCTATTTTTAAAACCTAAGGCCACACCAATTTAATTTGTTGTTTCTCGGATTTTTTCCAAAAAAATCAGGAGTGACAGGGCAAAAAAAAAATTAAAAAAAAATTGGCCATTAGGCACATGGGTCCTTGGAATCGGGAAAGATGCACAGGAACAGTGGCCAGCGGACGGGAGGATAGAGGAGTGACTGTAATGGTTTGTTAATAATTTAGATATTATATGTGTTATACAGGAATGTGTTACTCTCTACTGTGTAAGTTTTGATAGGCTATATGATAATAGCGTTAATGGCCCGCCCTTTCTCGGTGAATATGGTGTACATAGCCTTGTCAGTTGCTATAAGTATAACCATCTCATAAAGCCACCTCGTTCGCTGTCTCTCACTCGATGGCTTTATTCAGTGGTTATAGCAACTGCCTTTATCACACCATATTTACCTAGGGGCAGGTCATTAACTCTTAAATCACAGTTACATCATGACTTTTATTATTAAGCATGTCATAGTAGCCACTCAAAAGTGCCATAATTGTATGTACATGTACTGTGAAAAATGTATGTATGTGTATGGAGTAAAAAGTGAACTGATAGTCATCTTTGATGTCAATGGTAGTACTGTTCTTCTAAAGAGTCCACTCAACTGTGCCTGGGTGTGATGTTAATACTACCGGTAACTTAAAGGCACTATGCACGAGTGAACTTTAAAAGCAAGGGAGAAGTTGTTAATTTAACTCAAAGGTAAATTAGTTTTTCCCCATTAATCACGATGCACTTGAACCTGGACTGGCACAAGATGTTTGACAGAAAATGTTCTGATTCTAAAATCTGACATCTAAATCTAAAGTCTAAAATTTGAGAGAAACAACAGAAAGCAGGGATTGTCAAGAAAAGCATTGGAACATATACAGTCTTACACTGTTATAAACTGTACACGATTGTGAATTGTTAACCCAGGCAATGAAGCATATCCTTTGACAGCTACATATAATTCAGACAGGTATTAGACCTGTAACGTATAAACGTACTAAATTATCTCCACTGAAAGGTGCAAATTAATGAAAGTCATTCATAATGACATGTACATGTATGACCAGGGATAACCCTTGTTGAAGAGTCCAGGATTGGAGACGATTAGACGTATCATATAACGTCTTAAAGTTCATGTTTAAGAACTGCCCAAAACTTTTGAATCGACCCAAATTTCAGCATTCAACTTCTGACATTTGCAAGCATCATTGAGTATAAATCAGGTATGCAGAGACAGTTCAAACAGACTTTTCATGCTCATTTGAAACATGATGTCAGCTAATAAGACCGTACTCAGGGCTGCCTATCAAGAAAGCAATTAGGAAAGAACCAGGTGTTAACTCAAGACACGTTAATCATCTGATTCCATTAGGTCTAAGCTGAGATAGAGAACAAGCTTTAAAACAACTAAATTCATATATGTATTACCAAACAAGTACCTGTAACTGCATTTAGTTAAAAAACAAAAAGAAAATTCTGCTTGTCAAAGGAATTGTAATGCAAGTGTTTGACTGTATAATCAGTAAAATAACTGTTACAAAAAGATACTGGTTTGTAAAAGTATTGAATGATTTGCTTAAAATTCCTGACACACTCAGCACAAATATGCACAGCAAACAAGTCAATACAAGGCTACAGTAAAACCACTGTGTAAAGTACTTGCCAAGCTTGAGTTGATAGTACACAGGCTAAACTTGTCTGTAAAGGAAGCCGCACCTACATGTGATAGTACTGCCGCATGGGAATGTGTTTGACGTGTTCAGAATCAGAGTTCTTCCGTCCTTCCTTCCTGGCCCAAGTAGCCATCATATGACAAGCCAACAGTGAAAAGACAGCTAGAATGAGGGAGGCATGTTATCTCTGGCTTCTGTGGTGACGCGAGAGTGTTGGTGAAGTCTCAGAGCGTTGTGAGAAAGGTCCACCGGAGGGCTTGCATGCACGTCATGCCCCATGTGCTGTACACAGGAAGTCAAGGTAATCCAGGTGCTACCAAATGCATGGAAAATGCACTCATCGTGTGCAGAATTCCACTATAACCACAGTAGGAGAACAAGTGCCCTCGTCATGAAAATGTAACCAAGAAGGAAGGTATGCTGTGCTTGATCAGCATTGAATGAGCGGAAAGGCTCACAGTATTTGGCTGCGGGCTGCTGAGCGTTGGGAGCTATTGGGCCGTTTGTGTGTGCTGGAGAGTAGAAGCATTGATAGGGGAGTGTCAAACAGGTGTAAACAGAACACAGGCATGCACCACCAGATACTGGCAGGGGACAAACCAGTAATGCTAGGGAAAGGGGCTGTGAGCTTTGCTTTTAACATGAAACAAAGTAACTCAATATGGCAAGAAAGACCTGTTGCATGTATTACTAACTTGGTGTTTATTTCTTTGTTGGCAAGTGGCTAAAGTGTAGTGTACTAGTACTCAAAATTATTCTCAGAAGAGCCCAACTTTTTAACTTTATGGGACTTTTGCCTCAACCATATGGTGCCAATCATCAGAGACAATTAGCAGAAAATCATCATATTCTTTTTGTCTGACACTTCATTTTCCTGCAAACATTATGTGTCAACATTATCTATATTAGAAGATTCTGAAGTAAAATGTACAGTAACTGAAAAAAAAATCAGATACTACAAAAAATGTAAAATTGGATTATGCTCAGGGCTCAAAATTAAAGGTGGTCCAATGGCCCCTGACCACTAAATTTTAGGCTGGGACAACTAAAAAGACACTTTGGGACATTTTTGGGGCAATAGAAAAGTATCAACATCAGAATGCCAGGCTGAGCCCTTTTATTTATCAGGCACTGACGTCCCAGCTTTTGGGTCCGGAAAAATCTCCCTGAATTTCCTGTCTACACTGTAATTATAGTGCACCTGGAGTGAACATTAGCAAGATAAAGCTGACTGTTGTTGTCATATATACTTCCCGAAAAACAGGTTTGGACAGTTCATGTTCACTTCGGGACAATTGAAATGTATTTTTGGGATAGTGCTGGGACAATAGGAAGAAAAGTTAATTTTAAGGCCTCCTGATGCCTTTGTTCCTCATTACTCTCCAAGCAGAGGTTAGGGTTTGGGGTTATTTTTTGGCTAACAGTGCTGGGAAAATGGGAAGAAAAGTTAATTTTGAGGCCTCCTGATGCCTTGGGTTGGGTGAAAGAAAAATTCCAGTGCAAAAAAGAAACCCCAATAAAAAAAGTCTAAAAAAAAACATGCTAAAAATACCCCAAAACCCAAACCTCTTCTTGGAGAGTATGTTCCTCACACATACATGTATGGCCTGTTCCCAGACAAGGTAAAAAGTTCAGTCCGACTGGAGATGGGATAACAATGGGGATAAGTTATCAGTTTGATTAGTCTTTCGAAAAGTACTTAAACGTCAGTCTAACAGGCAATTGAAAACTGGTTCGTGACCACTTTGGCACTAAGTCGACTCTTTTATGAATTCTAATCAAAACTGTTTACATTCCTTGATGGCTGAGTATATCCTAGCTGATTAAGCACTGTGGTATGTCACATTTAAATGCCTAATGTTCCATACATGTAATAATATATTAGCCCTTGACAGTATTAAAGCTAGGATGGCATTCTCAATTTTTTTGGAGACAATTCTAATGGTGGAAGACATTTATTGCCTCCAGATTCTCTCGTGACCTCCATTACAACAACACTGTCCTTAAGTTTCAAAGCTAAGTTACAGAGCAATCTCATGTCATTGAAGCAAACATAGGGGTACTTATCCAACCCTCATTCTCTCACTAAGTCATTCATGTTTGTTCCTGTTACAATGTGCTGTGCCTGTAAAAACAGTGTTTTGTGGGGCCATTGTACATTATGTATGTTAGCTTTTAGCGTAATACCATTCTCTCGCCACCCCTACTGTTTAAATGAGTTAACTTCAAAGTGTATCTTTGAAATGTTCAAAATTTTACCAAAAAGTACTAGACGAAGTCTACATGTACATACATGTACTATGTACTTAGTACAATGTACATACATGTACTATGTACAATTACTATGTACTTGGTAAATTATGTCTATTGTGCATAAAATTCAACACTGTGAAACAGTGTACCTCAGAGGAATCATCACTAAACACACATTCCCATCCTGACTTGAGCATATGACATTTAAATGCAGTCAGTCTATTTCAAGCTGGAAGATGACAGACCTCAGGCATTATACATGATTGTATTTTCTGATCAGCTGCCTTCAACAAAGTGCTTTGGAACACGTTATCATTATCATCCCCAAGGCTATCAACAGACACACCAGGGGTTCCATGGTGCAGCCATGTCTCAAGGACACTCTTACGACCTCTAGCAAAATAGTTGTCTGTATAAAGACAATCCCCCCCCTCATATTCTGTTGGGTGGAATGTTTGATTCAAAGATTATTTATTATATAAGTGTCCTCAGATCAAAAGACAATGTGATATTTATGAATTTTTTGTTTTTCCTCCACTTTTATCCTTCAAACTTCAGGCCACATCAATTTAATTAGTTGGTTCTCATATTCGCCCACTTCATTTTTTCCTGATTTCCAAACAAAAAACAAAAAGATTCAGGTACTGAATCAACTCCAAAATTCTCATATTTTGGCCCAAACCGTTCAAGAAAGCTCCTTGTGACAGCTTTTCCATCTATCAATGCATAATGGTTTGACAAAAGGTTTAACATTTATTGTTTGAATGCTACACCAGCCTGGTATGTTGGTGTCATGGCTCCCATCATATTAGCTTCTGCGGCTATCAGAGGATGCCTAGGCCTATTTTTATTTTTGGCCCTGTCGCTTCATATTTTTCTAAAAAAATCGAGAACCAACAAATCAAATTGGTGTGGCCTCAGCATATATTTTCATGTAGATTCTGAAGCATTCGCTAAACTCACTGAGCACAGGATGTCTCAATATGGCAGGATATATTAAGGGATAAAACAACAGTAGGTAATTCAAGTTGCTCTTGGCAGTGAGAACAGGCCTGGAATAGTCTTAGAGTAAGCCAAGGGAACAGCATGAAAGTTCTTTTATTTCAGGGAAGTGTTCCTGTATGTGCACACATGCATGTATGTGTGCATTTGTACATAACCATTACATGACCATTTGTATCAGTATGTCAGGGTTGGCAGCTTATGCTATTAAGAGTTTACCCTACAACATGAATAACAAGCTTAGAGAAATGACAATAAAAGATAGATATTTATGTCAAAGTCCATTATATGTATCACAATGTCAAAGTATCACAGAACGAAAAATGAAAATGATACTTTAATTTGTTTGAAAGCGCAGCAAATTTTGAGATCACCCCCCATCCTGTCCCCAGGCAGATGAGTATCAGACAGCTGAGACCTGGGACTGCAGCCTGAGCCATCTCGTAGGTAATGTACAGCACCAGCTTGCCCCGGGCTGGCTGACATGAGCTGACATTTGAGAGCTGTCACAGTCATTGTGGCGACTGCGGCAGATGCGAGCATCACCAGGGGAGTTACAGCTTCGCGATGATCATGCACAATATGCCCCGACAGAGCAGGTATGAAATCTGCTTCCAAAACATATTGCGGGCCAAAGATCCTCAGCTTTTCAGCAGGAGAGTTAAAGCGTAGCTGATTGTGTATTATATGTAAGCTGTAATATCTTAGAAAAGAATTCCCATCTATCGCAATATCACAGACAAAACCGCAACACGAAAAGAATGTGACCTCAGGCAATCCAACAAAGATCAAACAGAAGGCAATTTTCTCAATGGAAAATCCCTGGATATGCCTGAGTACAAAAATCTCTGCAGATTCTCTAGAAAAGTCTTCATGTTTGCTGAGACTCTGAGACATGTCATAAGGCCTGAACCTAAGAAAGTCCAAGAGGAGAGGCAAGCACTTCAAGGGATTTATATCTGATGACATTGATCTTCATGATCATGGAGAAATAAAACATATTGAGCTGAGTCATCCCTTTGTAGCCCAGAGGTACATATAATATAAAAGAGGGAATACACACAACAGGCAACTGTTACAAAAATTCATATTTCCCCACAGCTTAAAACAACAATGTAAGCATTCTCAACAATGCGATCCAACTCTGACAGCAAACCACCTGAGTTTTTTGGTACCATTTAACACAAAATGACAGCACCCACCTGTGAAGCATATTATCAGGAAGGACAGCGTTACAACAGATCAGTCATGATGTGCACTGTGCCAATTTCTGCTGTGTTCCCGAGACGCCAGTGAAATGAAGTCCCATAACTCCTTTGCCTTGTGCTGTATCATGCACTAAAGCTCCCTTGTTGCTTGGTGATATCCGGTAGCATGTAAGACTGGGTGGGAACTCGCACTGGAGGTTAATGTTCTCTATCTTGAAGATCTTCATAAATTATGTTAGACAGGCCCGGACTGAGTCAACAGGCAGTGATAGATACGCCCGCAGTAGAACATGACAATGAACAAACCCCTGGGCACCAGCCTTAATTAAGTAGTGCCTCTGTGTAGATTATGGAGCAACAGGTGCGCAGCCCTGACAAAATTACGTCAACCCCCGTCCTGCCATCACGTTCACAGTCTGTCATCCGTAACCGGGGTTGTCATTGGACTGGGCCTGGGTGGGAACGTTGTGTCAACCGTGTGCCTACACCGTGGCAGAGAGTCATGACAAGGCTTATGTGTAATATTTGGTACTGAGCTAGACGAGCTGTGGCAAGTTGTCTACACTCACTAATGTTCAATGTTCAAAAGCAACTGTGTGCCTATACCATAAGATAGTTGTGACAAGGCTTACGTGTTATATATATGTAAATATTTGGTACTGAGCTAGACATTAGCTGTGGCAAGTTGTCCACACTAACAATGGGCTTTCATCAACTGCAAAAGCAGGCCATGTGTTCAACAGACTTTCATCAACTGCAAAAGCAACGCCTACACCGTGGCAGATAGTCGTGACAAGGCTTACGTGTAATGTTTGGTGCTGAGCTAGATGAGCTGTGGCAAGTTGTCTACACTGACTATTTTCAATGGACTTTCATCAACTGCAAAAGCAACCGTGTGCCTACACTGTGGCAGATAGTCTTGACAAGGCTTATGTGTAATGTTTGGTACTGAGTTAGACGAGCTATTGCAAGTTGTCTACACTGACTGATGTTCAATGGACTTTCATCAACAGCAAAGGCAGGCCAATATTCAAGACTTCCAAACTCTCAGACAAGGTGGCCCTGCAGATCAATTTGGACTCTTCGGTGTACATCCAAAAAGTAATAATAGTGATAATACCTACTCGTATATCAAGACCGAATGTGGTTTAGGAACTGCCAGAAGTCTCTAGTCACAGTGGATTCGTG